CACCCACTCCAATTTTGGTACACCCCTCAGACATTTCGTGGCCCCGTAGAGAGCTCCAACGATGGCCCCGTTGCCACCGCCCGCATGCATCACCCACACCGATTTCGGCACACCCCTCACACGTTTCGTGGCCCTATAGGGAGCTCCACCGAAGGCCCCAGTGCCACCGCCCACATGCGTCACTCACACCCATTTCGGCACACCTCTCACACGTTTCGTGGCCCCATAGGGAGCTCCACCGAAGGCCCCAGTGCCACCGCCCGCATGCGCCACCCACGCCCATTCCAGCACACCCCTCACGCGTTTCGTGGCCCCCCAGGGGGCTCCACCGACGGCCCCAGTGGCTGCGTTCGCATGCGCCCACCGTGTCCATTTCGGCACACCTCTCACACGTTTCGCGGCCCCATAGGGAGCTCCACCGATGGCCCCAGTGGCTGCGTTCGCATGCGCCCACCGCACCTATTTCGGCACACCCCTCACACGTCTCGTGGCCCCGTAGGGCGCTCCACCGACGGCCCCAGTGGCTGCTTTCGCATGCGCCCACCAGACAAATTTTGGCACACCCCTCACACGATTCGTGGCCTTAGGGAGCTCCTCCGACTGCGGTGCATACAACGACGATGCTCACAATTGCAGATGGTTGGGTCCTCCGCCAGGCTAACTGTTGTTTTTGTTTTGTTGGTTGTTTTTTGATGCCGTTACAAGGATGAGAGGCCGTCTTTGTTGTTTTTGCTTTCTTTGGGACCTATCCGGCGGGAGTCTCCAACTCACTGAATTTTCATGGGACCTCTCAGGCGGGAGCCTCTTCCTCTTCGCGTTTGTTGGGGACCCCTGAGGCGGTGATCCTCTTCCTCTTCGCGTTTTTTGGGTACATCTCTGGTGGTGAGCCTCTTCCTGTTCGCGTTATTTGGGGCCCTCTCAGGCGGTGAACCTCTTCCTCTTCGCGTTTTTGGGGGCCGCTCAGGCGGGAACCTCTCTCTCTTCGCGTTTTGTTGGGACCTCTCATGGGGGGAGCCTCTTTTCCTCTTTGCGTTTTTCTGATGGGATCTCTCATGAGGGGAGCCTCTTCCCCGATTTGCGTTTTGTTGGTGCCTCTAAGGCGGGATCTTCTTCCTCGTAGCGTTTTTTTGGGAAACTGTCGGGCGGGAGTCTCCCCCTCCTAGAGGGTTGTTGGGATCTCATGGGTGCGTTTTTTGTTGCGACCTCTCAGGCGGGAACCTATTTTTCTTCGCGTTTTCTTGGGGACCTATCAAGCGGTGAGCCTCTTCCTCCTCATTTTTTTAGGGGGGGGGAACTCTTGGGCGGTGAGCCTCTTCCTCTTTGCGATATTTGGGGCCCTCTCAGGCGGTGAGCCTCTTCCACTTCGCATCTTTTTCGAGACCTCTCGTGAGGGGAGCCTCTTTTCCTCTTCGCGCTTTTTGTTGGGACCTCTCAGGCGGGCAGCCTCATCCTCGCGTTTTTTTGGAACCTATCAGGCGGGAGGTTCTTGCTCTTCACGTTTTTTTTGACTTTTCAGGCTGGAGCCTACCTTCGAGAGAGTGTCTTTGGGGAGCTCTCGGGCGGGAGCATCCTTTCGATGGGGTAGTAGTTGTTTAGACCTCTCAAGCGGTGCCCTCCTCTTCTCTCTTTGGCCTCTTAGAGGGGAGCCGGCTCAAGCTCCCCCCTACTTTCTACTCAAATGCCGATGTTTTCTAGTTTATGCCATTCTGGACTACATAGTACGCCCTCGTCTGTCATACTCTACTCTGCTCCGCTCTCATCTACTGTACTCCAACATTCTCTCTATTCTCCACTATGTGCTCGAATATATTGAAACATCTACCTTTTCTCCTCTCGCAAATCTGTCGCACAACTCCCTGCACGTCACTTACTACACCTCTACTTTTACCGCTACCCCTACTCTCCACCGCCTGCGCGACCATCCGCTCTACTCCCACTATGTACTCTACTTTCTGCCATCCGCCTTTCTATCGACTCTCCACTCCCTACGCTGCGCCCTCTACTCGGGAGCAATTATCTGCTACTCGGCCCTGCTCTACTGTAGTCTCTACTGTATTGTAGGGCGGGGGTAGAGTAGCGGGTCGAGGAAAGACCAGACTAGAGAGTGGTGCGTGGATTGGATCGTATGGATACAGAGTAGAGGGTAGATATCACATGGGAGGAGGATCGATAAGTCTGTCAGGTAGGGTACATCGAAGAGTAGAGAGCAGAGCAGAAAAAGGAGTAGAGACTAAAGAGCCGAAGGTATGTGACACAGCAAGGAAGCTATCTTAAAACCGGAACTGGGCGTGAGTGGCAGAGCGAAGTAGAGTGCGGAGAGGGAGAGAGAGAGAGAGAGAGAAAGAGTAAAAGAGACAACGGAATAAGGAGTGGAGTACATGAGAGGGTAAACAAATGGGATGCAATTGTGGCGTGGGTTATGTGGTACCGTGTTGTAGAGTAGACATGCCATCCTGTAGAGTAGAATCGAGTAGGATAGAATAGAGTAAGGTAGAATAGGGTAGGGTAGGTGCCAGACTAGAGTTGTAACAGGCTGATGAGGGGATAGATGGGCTTCCCTGGAACAAATTTAAAGTTCGGGCTTGGGCTCGGGCGGGGGAACATTTAGAAGTTCGAGTTCGGGAACAAGGAAAGCAAGAGTTCGAAACAAGTTCAAAAATTCAGAAAGAGAGAGAGAGACCGAAAACAGTTCAAATGTGTTCAAAGAATTTGGGGATAGTTCGAAAACACTTAGAGCAACATTCAAATTACCCCAGTGCGACCCTACCTTGAAGTTGGAGCCCCGAGGAAACCAGCATTAGTTGCTTTGCTATGCTATGCTATGCTATGCCATGCTATGCTGCGCTATGCTATGCTATGCTATGCTATGCTATGCTGCGCTATGCTATGATATGCAGGGCTGTGCTATGCTAAGCTATGCTATATCATGCTGTGCTGTGCTATGCTAAGCTATGCTATGCTATGCTATGCTATGCTATGCTAAGCTGCGCTATGCTATGCTATGCAATGCTATGCTGCGCTATGCTATGCTATGCTGTGCTCTGCTATGCTAAAGCTCAGCGAAGCTAAGATGAAGGTAATCTAAGCTAAGATAAGCCTGAGCTAAGACGAAGCTAAGCTAAGCTAAGATGAAATAAGCTAAGCTAAGATGAGATAAGCGACGCTAAGCTAAAGGGACGTAACTGGGGGAATCGCGGGGCGGATCCTGGGGGAACCGCCCGGGGCGATTTGCACTGCCCGGCCCCTTTAAGCTAAGAGGGTAAGAACCCTTCTAGGCAGAGCCTAGGTAGAGAACTAAGTTTCAAGTCCGGAAAACGTTAGAACAAATTCGAAACAAATTCGGAAACAATTCGAAACCAATTCGGGAATCCGGAGAAAATTCGAAACCAAACTTTCTCCGGACTCCAGGATTCTTGTAACTTCGAGCTGGAACTTTCAAAAACATTGGCCTCGAAGTTTTCCGTACCTGAAGTTTCTTTAACATAAGGGCCATTTGCGCCCCCTCAGCCAGTTACAAGACAAGAGTAGGGTAGACGGTAGAATCGAATCGGGTAGATCGACCAGCTAGACAATCATACAGCACAGTATAGCAGAGCAGAATATTGTATCCCACAGTGGAGTAGGAGTGTAGGGGGAATAGGCGTAGAGGAGAATAGGGCATACTAGATGTAATAGGGTAGAGTAGGTTCGGTTCGGGTGCGCGGGGTAGAGTAGAGTAGAGTAGAGCGTCGCAAAATAGAGTAGAGTTGAGCAGAGCAAGGCAGAGTATATCATAATATAATGGGGGTAGAATGGAATAGGGGTACTAGAGGAGTATAGCCGATTAGTGTAGGAGCGGAGTGGAATAGGTTAAAATAGATGGTCAACTAAATTAAATCAGATGGCAGAGTATAGCCGGGTAGTGTAATAGAGTCGTGTGGAAAAGAGTCGAGGATATCATATTAGAGTACAGTGGGAGTAGAGTAGGCATTGGCATAGAGTAGAGTAGGGTAGGATCGAGTATACTAGATCATCATTGAGGGTCAAGTTCAGTTCAACCCAGGCAGCTTCATTTCAGCCATCTGATCTATTTGGAGTCTGCACTGGCTGCCATTTGAGAATTTGGAGTTCCAGATAAAGGACCCCAAACTCCCTCTAAGGCCCCTTGTAATTGGAATCCAAAATGAACTCGATCGGAATCCAATTCGATTCCCTTGAATCTGCGATCTCCTCCGTTCTAGTTGGAACCCAACCAGAATCCAACTGTAATCCAATTGGGATCCTCTAGCTCCGGGCTCTGTTCCATTCTAACTTGTATTTACTTTGAATCCAATTGGGATCCACTTGGAAACCTTTAGATAGGGGATCTCCATCGGTTCAGTTGGACTTCAGTCAGAGCCCGATTGTGTTCCAATTGAAATCGAACAGACCTGACATTATGCTGGATTTGAAAGGGATTCAGAAAGGGAAGTATTCACGCTTCGCGTATCCCCACCAGCCCATGCAGAAATGTCGCCCGGACGGTCAACGGGAGGAAGAGACACCCTTCGTGAAACGAAGCGGGCCAAGCATTCCCCCTCTGAGAGAAGAAGGAGGACGAGGAGGAAGAGGAGGAGGAGGAGGAGGGAAAGGACGAGGAGGAGGAGGAGGACGAGGATGAGGACGAGGAGGAGGAGGAGGAGGAGGAGGAGGAGGAGGAGGAGGAGGAGGAGGAGGAGGAGGGGGAGGAGCAAGGTAGGAGGAGGAGGAGCAGGAGGAGGAGGAGGAGAGGAGGAGGAGGAGGAGGAGGAGGAGGAGGAGGAGAAGAAAGGGCAAGGAGGGTCTTGACTCATGACCCATCTTGGGGGCCGTGTGGGAGCATCGGAGGTCTTCTTGGAGCCCTGGTGGGCGAACAAAGGCCCTCCGACTGCCCAGGAGGAGGAGGAGGAGGAGGAGGAGGAGGAGGAGGACGAGGGCAGTAAGGAGGACGGGCACGAGGACAAGAAGAGGAGGAGGAGGAGGAGGAGGAGGAGGAAGAGGAGGAGGACGAAGACGACGACGAGGAAGATGACGCCTGCGAGTACGAGGGCGATGGAGAGGAACACGAGGACACACATGGCTCATGGTGCAATTTGGATTCACGGCGAGTCCGACTATATATCGAAGGCAATACATCTGCCCACACCCGTCCTCGGAAAAGCCTGGCAACCTAAGTCAAACGCCGACCCTCGTGCACCTGACAGGCATGCAGAGGGCGGCGCGCGGCCGTGAACTGGCGCGAGACAGCGTGCACGAGGCACAGCAGTGTGCCCGACGGCATGGTCCTGCAAGTCTGGCGACCCTGGCCGCATCTGGCCGCCTCCAGCCTCTCGCTCACGCCGCCAGCGGCCCCTCAGAATGCCGGCAGCGGGAACGTCGAGCCGTCGCAGCTGGGGCACCTGTCGGCATCGAGGCCCTCCGCGACGCCCGCGCAGGCGCGGCAGCGGCGCTGCCAGCTCACGCGCAGCGGCTTCAGCGACAGCAGCAGGTTGCCGAAGGTGCGCAAACGGCCAGGGCCGTGCCCGGCGTGGGCCGCGACGATGCCAGCGTGGGCTGGGGAGCCGCGGTACCACTCCGCCGCGGCCTCTGGGCTGCTCCAGATCGACAGGTTGATCTCCTGCACCGACCGCCAGTTGACGCCGAGCATGGGGCCGCCAGCGGCGCCTACCTCCGGCACGACGCAGAGCAGCTGGCCCACGAAGCCAGGCGCGGGTGGGCCGCGGCCGTCGAGGCCACCCAGCTCGCGCATGATGTCCAGAGAGGCCTTCACGGTCGCGCGGACGTCGCCCACGTCCGCCGTGGGCAGGTGGCCGACGTTGCAGACCACGTGCCCGGGGGCGGCCTGCGCGCCACGGAGCATCAGGCAGACCCCCGCTCGCAGCTGGCCCCCCAGGTCGTCGATGGGCGCCTCGAAGGCCCACACACGCAGGCCCGTCGGAAGCAGCGCGCTGACCGCGGCCTCCAGCGGCTTGCCCGCGGCCCTCCACAGCAGCAGGGCGAGCAGCGTGCGGCAGTTGTCGACCAAGAAGTGCGCGCGCACGCAGGCCAGCGCCAGCGGCCCCGAGGCGCGGGGCGGGCCCCTCACAGAGGCCTCGAGCTCGCGGGCGAGGCGGACGACCTGCAGCACCCAGCCCAGCACTGCCAGGGCCCTAATCGTTGAGGCGGCCTCCCACAGCTCCGCCGCCGCCGCCGCGGGACCCAGAACCATCGCAAGCCAGGCCGCCGCGCCGCCCGCTGAGCCGAGAGCCACGAGGTCGGCCAGAGTGCGCAGGAGTAATGCCGCCAGCAGCGTGAAGGCCACAGAACCGACGGCCGCTGGAGCAGCCGATGGCGAGGCGAGCCCCAACCACGCCGGCCAAGAGAAGGCGTCGCCCGGCGCTCCGGCCACAATGAGCCGCAGAGACACGCTCGCGAGGAGCGATAGCGCTCCCGCGACGCGCACGACGTCGACCACATAATCTCTCGCGGCACGGGCCGTGTGGCACAGCGTGCGCAGTGCCGTGGCAGTCGCGGCCGCGGCCAGGCAGCTTTGGAACTCGCGGCTGAAACAGCTGCAGTCCTGCCCGTCGCCGCGGGGCCACCCGTCTGCCCCAGGCACGAGGTGCAGCGCCAGCAGCGCCCAGCCAGCCACCGCTGCTGGCGGCCAGCGTGTCGCCGGCCTTGCGAAGCTCTCGGCCAGCAGCGTGGCGGCGGCGCCGAGAGCGAGGCCGCGCCAAGGCGCGAGCTGCGCCGCAGCCACCAGCGTCGCGAGCGCCGCCCCCGGGGCGCAAGCCAGCCTGGAGGAGGCACCTGCCCTTGGTCCCGAGGGCAGCGCCAATGAGCCGGCGCCCACGGCGGCCATCGGCAGCAGCACGGAACTCGCCGAACGCTCCCCTGGCAGCGCCCGGGCTGACACCAGCGCTGCCGCCAGCGCCGCCGCGTGGGCCGCGGCCAGCGCGAGCTCAGAGGCCCCGCGCGGCTCCGACATGAGGTCGTAACCTGGCGTCGGCTCCTGCTCGCAAGGCCGCCGCTGCAACGGCCCCACCGCTAGCTGGGCAACCTGCCGCCGCGCGGCCGCGGAGTGGCCTGCGGCCTCAAAGGCCGCGGAAGCGTCGGCGCCTCCGTGAACAAGGAGGCTCTCTGGGCCTCCGGGGTGCTCGTCGAGGAACGCGGTCACGTCGCAGACGATGCCCCCGACGGCCACCCAGCAGCTCGCGCGGCCCGCGTGCCCGCGCAGCTCCTCCGGGCCCACAGCGCCAGCGTCGAGGCCACGTGCGGCCTCAGCATCACCGCCAGCTGTCGCGGCCGCGGCCGCGGCCGCAGCACACCCGTCGGCGGTCGCCTCGAGCTCGACGGTGGGAGGGGTGGGGCCGTCCCGGTCGTAGGCCGCGAGAAGCGACTGCAGCCGCGCTGCCAGCGACGCCAGGCAGAGCAGGGCAGAGGCGTGCCAGAGCCACGCGCACGGCAGGCCACCAAGCGCAGCCATGCCGCACACGAGCCCCTCGGCGTACATCACCAGTGGCAGCCCCCGCGCCAGAAGCGTCAGCGTCACCGCGGCGCCCCACGGCGCACGCCCGCCGCCCACCTCGCAGGCGTTCGCCAGCGCCTCCGGCAGCCCTGGCAGCAGCGCGGCGCCCACGCCGAAGGCAGGCAGGCGTCGCGTGACCAGGCAGAGGCCCAGCGCCGCGGCGGCCGCGCCGTGCTCCAGGAGCTCGCGCGCATGCTCCCGCGGCCCGTCGCGCCTGGCCGCGCGCAAGGCCAGGCCGGCCGCGGCCGCGCGGAAGCCGAGGGAGGCCGAGAAGACAACCTCGTGCTGCCGCCCCAGCCGCGCGGGCAGAGCCCAGCATGCTGCCGCCTCAGCACACATCGCCACGGCGGCGAGCGCCGCGGGCACGGCGTGCAGCTGCGAGAAGGCCAGCCAGCGCAGCCGGTCCCTGCCGCGGGCGCCCGCACGGCCGGCCGCGCCGCTGGCGCCGGGCGATAACACCACCCAGGCGGCCCAGGCGGGCACCCAGCGGCAGGCGCAGTGCACCGCGAGCCACAGCGCCGCCCAGCCCGCCAGCTGCGCCACAAGCGCCACGCCCGCGCGCGGGCCCCAGGCGGCGGCGACGGCGGCGGGATCCGCTGGCGCGGCGGCGCGCCGCAGCACCGCGCCGAGGCTGGGCGCCGCCGCGGCGCCCGCCGCTGCCCCGATGCCGTCGCCCTGCCGCGGCGGAGCGCACTCCACTGGCACCGACGCGGAGGCCACAGCGTCGCCGAAGCCGCGGCGGCCGTCGGCGGCGGCGGCCCGCCGCACGGTCAGCTCCGCCGCGAAGGGCCCTGGGCTCGCCTCGCAGGCGGCGCGCGCGAGCTCCAGCGCGGCGCGCGCCAGGCTGCCATGGTGCTCGGCTCCTGGCGTCTCGCCTGTCGCGGCGGCCGCGGCCAGGAGGCACCACAGCAGCGGCGCAGCGACCGCTGCCGCGGCAGCCATCTCAGGGCACAGCCGCTTCGGAGCGCATGAGGGCCACGCGCGTCCAGCACGCGCTCGGCCGCTTGAGCTAAAATGGATCACTTGGGGCCGTCTTGGAACGATCTTTGGCGCTTCTTGGAGCATGTTGGAAACCATCTTGACCGCTCATCTTGGGCCATCTTGGATACCACCTTTGAACAGCGGAGGCCCTGTTGAGGCCATCTTGCGCAATCTTGGATGCTCATACCCCTCGGGCCCCCTCCCAAAACACCTCATGTAGGGGAGGGGGAGGATACCCCTCCCCGAACGGAAAAGGTTTTGGAAGAGACACGAACGAACTCTTTAGACCACCTACGCCCAGGGGGCCGGTGGGACTCAACAGGACTGAACCAAACACCACATCCATAATATCCAGGCGCGCGGGCGGGCGGTTTGGGTCAGGGGTTAGGGTTAGGTGTTAGGGTAAGGGTCTTAGGGTATAAAAGGTGTTTTTTTTGCGGGGGAGGGATGTGGAGGGAGGGCATGGAGGTGGGGAGATGAGGGAGGCGAGCGAGGGGAGGGGGTGGAGAGAGGGGAGGGACGGGAGGGAGTGGAGGGAGCGGAGGGAGGGGAGGGAGTGGAGGGAGGGGAGGGAGGTGGAGGGGAAGGAGGACAGGAAACGCAGGCGGGGGAGGGTGGGGAGGGTTAGCGAGGGGAGTGGGGGGAGGGCGTCGCAAAGGGAGGATTAGAGTCAAATCGTATTTTATGTGCCCCTCCAGGCGTTGCCAAGGGACGAGTCTAGTATACTCATATCCTGCCGATTTCCCGACCTTGCTCATGGCACGAGTATAGCATAAAGAATATGTTTTCGCCCCCCGGGCGTTGCCACGTGACGGGAGCACAGTTGCGTTGCAATCGATTGCAATCGATTGGATTGCAAGCGATTCGATTGCAATCGATTGGATTGCAATCGATTGGATTGCAATCGGTTGGATTGCAATCGATTCGATTAGAGTCGATTGGATTGCAAGGGAGGTAAAGGACGGAAAGGGAGGGAGGGGGAGGAGAGAGAGAGGGGAGGGAGGGGAGGGAACGAAGGGTGGGAAGAGGGGGAGGGAGCGGATGGGGGGGGATTGCAGAGGAATGGATTGCAATCGATTGCGTTGCAATCGATTGGATTGGAATCGATTGCATTGTAATCGATTGGATTGCAATCGATTGGATTGGAATCCAATCTCTCGATCGTCGATCCTTGATCGTCGATCGTTGATGGTCGATCGTCCATCCTCGATCGTAGATTGTTGATTTTTGATCATCGGCGAAAGGGAGGGCGGGGGCTCCAGGGGCTGGATGGAAAAAGGGGGAATGGGGGGGCTTCCACCCCCCCCCCTCCCTTTGGAGAAGGGGGGGAGGGGGGGGGGGTAGCTTCCAGCAGGGCGGGTCACATGGGTGTAGGGGGGGGGGGTAGCTAAGCCCCCCCCCTTTGGAGAAGGGGGGAGTGGGGGGGGGGGCTTCCGGGGCGGCCAAAGGGGGGGAGTGCGGGGTAGCTTCCAAGCCACACCTCCCCCTTTGGAGAAAAGGGGGGGAGGGGGGGATAGCTTCCAGCAGGGGGTGTCCAGGGGGGGGGTGGGGTAGCTGAGCACCCCCCTCCCTCTGGAAAAAGGGGGGGGAGGGGGGGGGGAAGCTTCTGGGGCGGGGAGGGGGGGGGGGTAGCTTCCAGATCCTGGGGGGGGGGGCTTCCAACAAAGGGCGGCTCAAGGGAGGCGGGGGGGATAGCTTAAGCCAAGGCCCCCCCCCCCTTTGCTCGGTCGCTGTGGGCGCGCTCTCTCAGGCCTCCGGGCCGCCTCCGAGGATCTGCACGGGCCGGGCAGGGAGCCCGACGAGAGAGACCTCTTCGGCACCCGCGAGCACCCGGCAGACAGACCGCCGAGGGCCTCCGAGGTATCCCCCCCCCCGCGGGGCGTGTGCGAGGGGACGCCGGAGGCCCTCGAGAGCGCCGCGCCGAGGCGCGCCGAGGGGGGGGGCCCGAGCGCCGGCCTCTCGAGAGGCCCCCGCCCTCCCCGCCGAGGCGCGCGCGGGAGCCGCCGGCAGGCCCCCGCAGGGCGCCCTGGGCCGCGGCGGGGAGCCGCCGAGGGTCCTCCTCCTCCTCCTCCTCCTCCTCCTCCTCCTCCTCCTCTTCCACCTCCGCCTCCGCCTCCGCCTCCGCCTCCGCCTCCTCCTCCTCCTCCTCCTCCTCCTCCTCCTCCTCCTCCTCCCTCGCAGCCCCGCGAGCGTCCAGGGGGTGGGAGCTCGGGGCCTCTGCGACGGCTCCCGCCCGGCCGTGCGTGCTGATTCTGGCGTGCCAGCGGGCCTCCCGCCTGTGGGCTCTCTGCCCCGGTGGCTGTGTAGCTGCCGTGCCGCGGTGGCTGCGCTCTGAGCCTCGGCTGCACGCGAGAGTGGGACCCTAGGCAAGAGTGACATTGAATGCGCGGCCGAGGGGGGGCCGTTGGGGACACCGCCAGGCGCGCAAACCGCTGCTATTTGGGGGCACCATCGGGCCCGCACAGAAGGTCACTCCAGCGAAAAATCACTCTTCCCAGATCCCCGACGCCATGATTTTTTCATAACGGGGACCCTTGGAGGTCTCGATCCATTGTTCCCCTGGACCGAATTTTCGTCCTGAATCGTTTATTGGCGGTCCCGAGGTCCGGCAAGGGCCCCCAGAGGCCGAGAATAGCAAAAAACCTCCCATGTTTTTTCACTGCGCGAGGGGGTCTGGCTTTCGTGTAGTCGAGACACTCCAGAGCTCCTCCTTTTTCCTCCTCCATCTCCTCCTCCATCTCCTCCTCCTCCTCCTCCTCCTCCTCCTCCGCATCGTCCTCCGCCTCCTCCTCCGCCGCCTCCTCCGCCGCCTCCGCCGCCTCCGCCTCCTCCTCCGCCTCCGCCTCCGCCGCGCCTCCTCCTCCTCCTCCTCCTCCTCTTCCTCCTCCTCCTCCTCCTCCTCCTCCTCCTCCTCCTCCTCCTCCTCCTCCCCCGCCCCGTCGTCCTCCTCCTCCTCCTCCTCCTCCTCCTCGCCGCGCCCGGCGAGGGGAGGGCGCCGGGCGGCGCGCTCGGGCGTCCCTCCTCGACCTCCTCGGGCTTCATGGCGGCCCTGACGGCCTGGCGCCGCCGCCGCCCTCTCCCCCGCCCAAGGGGGCGGAGGAGGCGGAGGAGGAGGAGGAGGAGGAGGAGGAGGAGGAGGAGGAGGAGGAGGAGGAGGAGGAGGAGGAGGCGGAGGAGGAGGGAGGAGGAGGAGGAGGAGGAGGATGAGGAGGAGGCGGAGGAGAGGGAGGAGGAGGGAGGAGGAGAAGGAGGAAGAGGAGAAACGAGGACGAGGTCCTAGAGGAGGACGACGAGGAGGAGCTCGAGCAGGAGGAAAACGAGGAAGACGAGGAGGATGAAGAGGAGGAGGAGGAGGAGGAGGAGGAGGAGGAGGAGGAGGAGGAGGAGGAGGAGGAGGAGGAGGAGGAGGAGGAGCCCCCCCAGGGGGGCGGAGTGGGCGGAGGAGTGGAGGCGATGCGCGGCGTGCTGCGGACCGTCGGGAGAGTTCTCTCGCAGACTCTGCTGGGGCGCATTCGGCGTGACAACACGCTGCCTCCGCCAGGCGCGCTGCGGAGGGGCGGGGTCGCGTCCGCTGCGGGGGCCAGGAGCGCTCGCAGCGCGCGGCGAGCTTTTTCCCTCGCTCGAGCTGCAGTTCGGGCATACAAGGCCACTCGCGGCTTCGCGCCGAGGCAGGAACTGGCTTCCATTCGAGACAGCTGCGCGCCGAGAGAATAAGGTAGCATGCGCATGGAGGCACCGATCGGAGGGATGGTATAACAATATCCATATGGCACACTTTGGAACCTCTGATGGCAACGGCAAACGGCATCTCTGCACGGACGGTCACATGTTTTTTTTTTGTCGGCTTTCGTTAGGCTTTCACCGGTTCCTGCTGGCAGGGACACCACCGATTTACTTCTGCCATCCTCCACCGTATCTCGTGGTGGCCGACCTCTTGCCGCTTGGACGGCGATACATGTCTGGAGCTGTCCACCTGAAGCGGCTAAAAGTTTTGCAGAAAGGGGGAGCAGCCATGTCTCAATGCTGATGCACACAAGATGTGGCAACCCCCATGAACTCCGACCGCGTTGAGCAGCAGGCGCAGGATATGCACGCCTGCTGCTGCTGCTGCTGCTCCTCCTCCTCCTCCTCCTGCTGCTGCTGCTGCTCTTCCAAGTTCCCTCGCGCCTCTTCATCCGTCTGCTC